AGGGTCTTTCGTAAGTCGAAGCACCTTTTTCCATCGCCTTTTGAGTGAGGCGATGCTGGCTGAAGACGAAGTTCTTGGTGGAGGCTGAAGAAAGCGTACGTAGGCATGCATGCATATGTACGTGTACATGTACATAACATTGTGGAATTTAATTCTAAACTTTAAAACTAGAACTTAAATTTACGTTAATTAATGCAGGTATGTACTCTGTGCAATGATATTTTTTTAACATCTTTTTAAACTCGCTCATATTTATGCCGGCCCCATTACGAATCAACGATAGGCTACTTGCAAAAGAAAAGCACATGAAATAGTGCACTGCAACAACAATACGTCTTTCATGTGGAACAGCGAAACGCATTTTGCAAATGGATTTTGTCACACGGGCATTTTGTCGTAGCGCAGGCAAAAATATTGCCGTTAAGTGCCTTCGTAACTTGAATTTTTCGTTAAATGGGGTCTTCGTGAGCCGGGGTTCCACTGTATTTGATTCAGCCAGGCAAAGTCTTGTTTTTGTTCTGTTACCTGAGCAGTCTGAGTTAGCCAGAATCCAATATTTAAATTTTGTTTTTTATTTGCAAGTGTGTTTTTAGCCTACTCATGCTGTTTTAACTATAAAGACAATTCTTTCAGGTACCTTTGGCACAAAAGAGCACATCTCTGGTTGAAAGGATCGGTAGCCTCTGTATAAGACTCGTCATAATAACAACAAGACATTTTATACATTCACTTCTTTATAATCACTTTGTGCCCAATTTTTATGTAAATCACAACATGTTAGCATTTGTATAATTTTCCAATGCTCGTCTAAATGGAGTGGCACGCGGTGGAAAAACATGGTTTCCTTGGATTCAGCTAATCCTGAAACCTATATTCACATTTCTGTCGGTTTATTAATTCCTTAGAGTGTCATATGCTGGGCATACAAATGCAGCTTAAGGAAGGTAAGGTATTAGTGGTTCTGTGCTATCAACTTCTATGTCAAAGACTATTAATTAAATTTGGTAATTTGAGGCAGATGAGCGTCAACTATCAACACAATGGAATGTAAATACAAAACTATGTTACTATCATAAAGCTCAAAAAGGTCAAAAGTGTTTCTTAAAATGATTTTTGCTTGGCATCTCGTCCTGTTCTACACTATAAAGCCATCCTAATGATGTCAGACGTAAACAAAATGCAGTATAAAGAGGCTACCGATCCTCCTAACCATGATCTTACTGCTCGCAGTCATTACAATAATGTAGTCATACAACACACTTTAGCTGTTTTTAACAAAGTGACACATTGGAGGTTCAGGAAACAAGCAGGTATCAAGTGGTCTGTGGAGTTTAGGAGTGGTATACAGGGTGTGGATTTCTCTCTGCAGTTCTCTGAAACCCAGGAAGGTAGGTTCAATATATGACATGATGCATCACACATGGCATATACTGTACCAATGTAGCAAGGAGATAAAGTAGGGGAAATAATGATTTAATCCCCTGTTGAATTTGTAAGTTTGCTCACTTACAAAAAAATGAACAGTCTCCAAATAT